CTAATATTTCCTTCCGTACCAGAGCCCATTGTGCCTGGGGTGTCTCTTGAGTTCTGCAGTGCTGCCTACGGAATCGGAGACTGGACGGGAACTGCCCACAGGAGTTGCACCAGTCATCTTTTGCCAGGTATGCCTGCTCTACCTGCTGACCTGCACCCTCTGCTGCCCACACTGTGCTCTACCTGAGCCTCCCAGCCCACACATGCAGGAGAAACATGACACCACTTTCTAGTCGCCTTCCCCTCTGCATAACACCTCCAGGATTTGCCCTGATATGGCCTCCCTGAGAAGCCCTCCAGAGTGGGCAATATGAAGGTATCTGGCTGTACTCAGTATACAGGGCCACTGAGAGTTTATCAGAGGAGGGGAGGGAGGGGGAAGATACGGTGGTTTAAATGTAGTTAAAGAGTGTGCGATCTAACAAGGTCAAAGGCCAAGGAAGGAGAAAAAAGAACAGCTGGCAGAGTAAGAGATAAGCTACTATACTCAACGGTATCAGAATAACAATGGCCAGGAAAGGGGCTATAGAAGGTCTTCCTTATTTATCTTTCTCCCTTAAAGCAGTCTCAAAACCAAACCAAACCAAACCTGTTGCCCTCGAGTTGATTGTGACTCATGGCGACCCCAGAGGACAGAGCAGAACTGCCCCATAGGGTTTCCAAGGAGCAGCTGGTGGATTCAAACTGCTGACTTTTTGGTTAGCAGTCATAGCTCTTAACCACTGCACCACCAGGGCTCCAAAACAATCTCAAGGGAACTCCTATCAGAAGAAACTTTTAAAGATAAAATTACAAACTAGGATTTATTCTGAAATCTAGTAATAGAAGAAAGTACCAGTAGTGGCCCAGGAAAAGATCTCAGTATCTGCAAGAAGCCTGGGCTGGGTACAGCTGAGGGCAAGCCTGCGCTAAGCAGCCTGAGGACTAAGAGGAAGGAGTCAAGCAGTTTAACTTCATCCTTTAGGTCTAATTCTTGGCTGCTGCCTGTATGACAAAGGTCTGAAAGCAACACATAATGCATCATGATTGAAATCTCACTATTACTGGAAATTCAACAGATATAAATCTTCTTGACTAACTGGAAATTAAGTCTCCTCTCCCTTGTTTTGATGTAAGAATAAATTTTAACTCGTTATTACATTTGCAATTTTGTTTGAAGGAGGTTGATAAGGTAACTACTATTGTTGTTGTTAGGTGCTGTCAAGTCAGTTCAGACTCATAGCGACCCTACGTACAACAGAATAAAACACTGCCTGGTCCTGTGCCATCCTTACGATCATTGCTATGTTTGAGCCCACTGTTGAAGTCACTTTGTCAATTCATCTTGTTGAGGGTCTTCCTCTTTTGTGCTGACCCTCTACTTTACCAAACATGATGTCCTTCTTCAGGGAGTGGTCCCTCCTGATAATACGTCCAAAGTACGTGAGACAGAGTCTCACCGTCCTCGGTTCCAA